GATATTAAGTAGATCCCTGATAAAAGATCATGAGAAATTTGTTGGCGTTTCATTTTGACTATAATGGTGATGTGATGATGATGAATGTTACTATATATAAAAGTGTCATTTCCGGCCATCTCGAGAGGTACTATTTCCTCAAATTGTCTTACCTCAGCCCCAGCCATGGTGGGGCTGAGGTGGTTGTGAAATTACGTTTCTGAAGTTGGCCTATGTAAAGTACATACTCAAAGACAATGTTTCTAAACTTTGTTTTCTGTGGTATATCACAGACACATTAATAAGATCTTAATGGTTGTGAAAAATCCCTGATAAAAGATCATGAGAATTTTTTTTGGCGCTTCATTTTGGCTAATGGTGATGTGATGATGATGAATTTTACTGAAAGATTTCTGGCCATATAGAGGTACTATTTCCTCAAATTTTCTCTCCTCAGCTCCAACCATGGTGGGGCTGAGATGGGTGTCGACTCACAAAATGCCCTCCTCCCCCACCTTTCAAAACAGATCTGTGCCCATAGACGTAGGGGGATACACATCTAGATGTGTATAAGAGACAGATGTAGGTGGACTTAAATGCGGGGTATCATTCCCCCCCCCAATATTTTTGACTATGTATGGGATAAAATGGAGCTTTACACACTTCAAAAGACTGTCACAGAAATAATTTGCACTGTCTTATGCGCTTACAAAGATGAAAATTAGCATAATGTATTAATGTTGATCACAAAATTATTTTATCTGGTACCAATCTAAACTCTTCTTTCCTTAGATGTTAGATGTGCTTGCCAAGAGAGCCACATTTCACACTGAAGGGTGTGTACTATCTACGACAGTAATATTATGTCAATTCCAAGAATGTTTAAGGTTATATCGGTTGATGAGGAATTTATTGATTAGGCCTACAATAGCAAATTGCATCAATTTATTTTGCAAAAACAAGGTTTCCAGCTTCAGGGGGGACACATCCGCTGTCCGCACAAGGGCACACATTGGCGCTAACACCAGGCGCGTAACAGGGGTCTTGGGTCAGAGTGGGTATTAATTTTCCCGGTTAGTAATTTACCATACCCACCCCACCCCACTCCCCATATAGAAAACAATACGACATAGGGCTTATCTTATTTATAATATATTCCACACACGTGTGTTTGAAACTAAATACATGTATATGCATTTTCATCATGGTTTTGTTTATTACAAACATATTCTTTCACCATCAATACACATTGAGGTCCTTCTTTTAGGTTAAAACGTTCTATCTTAAAATTTGTCTTTCTTGAGTTTGGGACTATTGTTTAAATAGCTTAAAAGGATAAACCTAAAAAAGCCCTAAAAAATGCGCGCGAAGCGGGAAAAATATTTTTGTGTTTTTAATTGTGCAATTTATAGAGAAAATTGGCCTACCGTAACAAGAAATGCGCGCAAAGAATTTGAGAATTTTAGGCACTTTCAGAGGATGCATTGTCAAGGGGTGGGGAAAGATTTTCCAAGGATGGATATTTTCACCTTGTCCCCCGGTGTTTTTAATTCTAATTTCGTTGGAATTGATCAAAACTCCCTAAAATGTGCAATTTTTAGAGGAAATTGGCCCATGTTAACAAGAAATGCGCGCGAAGCACGCGAAATTTGAGGTTTTTAGGCACTTTCAAGGGATGAAAAGGGCATTTATAAAGGGGTGGGGAAGATAAATATTTTCCCCTTGTCCCCCCAGTGGTTACGCCATCGGGCAGCATAGATCAAAGGAGTTATGACAGTTTTTGAAGTGGAGAAGGGGTTGCAGGGTGTTGTGAGTCTGGTCATTATGATATCTTCCTTTTTATTATTGTCTTTATTTTTCTCTTCTCTTTTTCTTTCCTTTTCTTTTCCTCTTCTTTCTCTTTTCCTCCCTCTCCCCTCTTTCTTTTCTCTTATTACCTAGCCCGGTACGACGGCTTGGTCAGCTCGGTAAAAACCGTCAGGAGAGGGGCAGTTTACCCCTCCCCCCACGCCTGTTACGACACTGGCTAACACGCCAATCATCCCCCCCAATGAAAAAGAATTTTCTACGCCACTGTCTGTGCCCTTCCCTGGGTATGACATTAAACTCCATCGAGTCGGCTCCTGATGTATGTCTTAGTGACTGCTGTTTGTTTTTAGAATGTGATCTGGTTTTTCATCTCCATTTTTCGTGATTATGACTATTCTGCATAAAGAATGTTTTGAGCAGAGGTGGATTCAAGCCCCCCCACCTCCCCACTTCATTTTTTAAGGGGAAAAAATGAAAAATATATTCAAATTCAACTGAGAGGGTGTAATTTTCGGCCGTCTAGAGATGCCCTAATCATAAATTTTCTTACCTCAGCCCCAACCATAGTGGGGCTGAGGTGAGTGGTTCCTCAGTCTGTGAATGTCCCTCCCTGGTTCACCTCTCTTTCGAATTCCTGGATCTGCCACTGTTGATTTATTATATAAATATTTTTGTGCTTATTTATAATTGCAATTTTCACTTTATCCTCTCAAATAGTCCTAAAAACGTTCAGAATGCGCTACTTCACAGGGGGATTCGCCCCTAGACCCTGCCGGGGTCCTACGTAATTCGCATAACGGCTCCCCCCTTTCAAAATCCTGGCTCGTCCCTGGATCATGCATAATTCTGCCCATTCCTAGCATTTTAGAAAAGAAAAATTATGAAAATATAACTGGTCTTTTCTTCATTTCCTTGGCAGCGTCAAACATGTATTAATGACGGTATAGGATGATTTTCACTTTACGGAATTGATTCGCGGCCGACGGTTGCGTGAATGGATGACCGGAAGTTAGGCCTGGCCTTGTGGCTCAATAATTGGCTTGGCTTTATAAGCACGCAAGTGCATATATCTCACCAGACAAATTCCGCCATGGGAGGGTGGGGTTTCGACCACTAATTGCTTTCTGCTGACTTGAAATTCTAAGATAAATTAAAGTAAATAACGCATAGGGCCTACCTGTTAAGTAATGATTACTACAAAGAAACTGAAACGGTCGCTGTGGCTATTTTGTAGTACAGTATTTAGTAGTGGAAAGTAAGTTCATCATACGTCAAGTCACCCGATTAAGAACGATAACGGTATATCTTGGAGTATGACAACTCGGTTAGCATCTTTTTCAAAACTATGGATATGCACAATCATGAATGATGAATTACACCTCATCCACGTACAAAATTAACTTTCTACCACCAGTGGTTGGGGAGATATGACGACCCTAGCAATGACCTTTGACCCTGACCTTTTGCCACATTTATTGTGTTAACTTACCAAGCCAAATATGATTCTTGGATCCTCATAAAGCAATTTCTGAAGTCAAATTCTCTGGACCTTAAAGTGAATACAAAACCTGGTCTGGCTACTAGGGTAACTGGAAAATTTGAAAAACTACGGTTACAAAATTAAAAAGTCCGACGAGATTTGGCAACCTTATGGATTAAAATTAAGATTACTAAAACTATTAATAAATTTGGAATAGGATAAAAGAACAATGGCGAAAATCGGACAAGTAGAAGTGAAGTTATGAAAAGAAATGTGCAAAAAAAATAGGGAAAATAACTGAAAATCGGACGTTTCGAGTTAAATTAAATGAGTTATCGTAATCCGATTTTCAGCTTTTCCCCCTATTTTTTCGCACATTTATTTTAGGATAAGTTTGATCGTCGATAATTCATTTAATCCAACTCGAAACGTCCGATTTTTAGCTATTTGTTACAAGGCATTTATCACATGCGGCTCATGTTGACAATAGAGTTCTTATATCTTGGCAATCAGTCTTCATAAGGAATTGCCTTTTGTGTAAAATTCCTTAAAATGTATATAAATAAATATATATAGGCCTATATATAGGCCCATATATATATATATAACTAAATGAAAAAAAAAATAATAACAAAATATTTTGTTTGTCACACATGCTGAAGAAGACCCGAGGAATGGTTGAAATATTCAGGTTTTGAATAAAATTTGTGTTCAAAGTCTACCAAGTCGTTGACATCTCATCGTCCTTTTCATTAAGTTCACCCCCAGTGGCTAGGCTAGATCAATTTGATGGTGAGCGGTACCATTATGTCCTTTCTTTGATGATTTATATATAATTTAATAACGGCTATCTTTATATTATATGCTACTATTTATTTCCAGCCGTACGCCCATTGTGTAATAGAGTGTACCTGACGGTTATTTAAATATGTTTAATATATGTGGTTAATGGTTGTGACGCTCGCCTTGACAGTGAGAGGTCGCAGTTTTGAATCCCGTAAGATGATTTTATTGCACAATGTATTTATTTATATAACAACATTCGTTGAGAGCTCTGCTACACGATAAAGTCTTTTATTTGAATACTGTATTTAACTTTCTTTGATGATATATAACGATAATCAATAAAAACT